CTGGAGCTTTTATCTGTCAGCTTCGTTCACAGTGACCCTCCAGCATTGTCAACTACAGTGCAGGTTGTCCTACCCCAGCGCTGGCTCCCCCGGATTCCCCTCCTGTATTAGCTTCTCTCTTCCATCTTGATGGTAGTGGTTTGCCCTGCATGCTTACCTCTCTTATGGATCTAGTGGTTGATTTTTCAGTTTGTTCAGTTTTTCACTCATTGTTCGGACAGAGGGGCAGCTTCCACGCTTCTTACAAGTGGAACTGGAAACCTGAGACTAATCCCCTCATTTTGATCACATCCAAATTCCTGCAATATTTATGCCCCCACCTCCTAGCGGCTACATATTTTCATATCTACTCTCCATGGTGCCAATGTGACCACAGAAAAACTGCTCTCTTGGTTTGGAGGTCGCAACCCTGCAGATGTGACCCAGAGGTCAAGACCCTGCAGCCTCCACCCTATTACTGCTGCTGTCCTAGAGGCCTCTCACCCTCCAGAGTGGCACCGAGACAGTGGAAGATGGGTGCAGACACTGATGCACACCCCTCCGGAGCTTGCAGCAGGAAGGTGACTTGCTGGTGTCCTTTGTTCTTTAAATCTTACTCAAAGCATCTCATTGAGATAACCCTCCTCTTCAGAATCCCAGCTGTAAGATTTATGTTTAGTCCTTCATCTTCTGCCCTATTGGGTCGTGCATGAGGTGGGTGGAAATGAACACCAAGGAGCTTAAAGTCTAATAGTGGAGGCTGACAAATAGAGAGATGATTTCAGGGTAATATGGCAACAACAGTGATGGACTTAGGCACTGTGCTGGGGACAGCAGGCTTTTATGGGAGAGCAGTGGATTAAAAAGTAGAGAACAGAACAAAAAGAGCTTCCTGGAGATGATATTACCTGAATAGGTCTTAAGGAATTAGCAAGAGTAGACCAGACAAAAAAAGGAGGGAAGGCCATGGCAGGCCTAGGGAGAGAACAAAGCCAACAAACTGTAAGACAGCACGTGAACATGAGTAGAAGTGAAAGGATGGAGGGAAGTGAGACAGTGCTAAGCAGGGGAATGGAGGTCGTCAGAGTCCTCTCCTAACTTTCATTTCTGCCACTCTTACAATAAGGTTGTAAGCACTCACTCTCTGTGGTGAATCCATTCTTTCTTGAGCCGACCATCTTGTGCACCAGATTGGGCCTGACTCGTCTTTACATTCACAGCATTTCAAAAATGTGTGTGTGTGCGTGTGTGTGTGTGTGTGTGTGTGCGTGTGTGTGTGTGCGTGTGTGTGTGCATGTGTGTGTGTGCGTGTGTGTGTGTGCCTGTGTGTGTACCATGATGAAACTAGATGAGTTTTTATTGAATGGAGTGGATTCTGATATTTACTTTTTAAGTAAACTAGTTTTCTGCATGACAATTTCCTTATCTGAAAAGTGGGAACAACATTTAATAGAACTGCTAGTGGTTAACTATAGGGGCTATCATTGAACACACCTCCTAGATACTAGGCTACCGTCTGAACTATCAACCCCCACTTTACACACATAGAGGTAAACGTATAATGTGGAGGAATATATTTATATGTATCATATATACATAAGTAAATTATTCATATATATTTCTAACAGAAATATGTTTGCTTCAAATGTGCAGCTATTCAAGAAAAACAATTTGAGAATCTGTTATTTACACATTATTCAAATGCTTAATTTATTTTGATGAAATATAAAAATTGTGTGTTAAGATAATTGAGATATTGAGAACAAATCAATATAATTTCTGGTGTAATCAGGGCACAGTTTGCGTCAGAAATGTGAGCAAAATCGACTTTTCTCTGAGAAGTAGACC